AGTGAGACTCCAACTCAAAAAAAAAAAAAAAAAAAGAAATGACTTTAATTCTCCAGGTAAGAGTGGAATGTTTCATTCTTACTGAAATAATTTCAAACATTTGAAGTTTCTGATGGTCTCTAATTTTAAAAAACTAATTTCTCACTGAGTAAAAAGCTAGTTACTCAGTATAGATTGTTATGCCACTTTACAGCTGCAACATTTCCTTGCATCAAATACTGGTTTTCGTTAACTTTGCATCTGGCTTTATCTGTATCTGTTATTTTACCTTAACGAGTGGATGTACGGAATTTATTTATTCAGAATTACTTTCTAAGAATTTATCTTTATTTCTTCAGAATTTATTTTAAGGAAAACCCAAGCTACAGCTATAAGAATGGTTTTTATAGCATAGCAATTATGAAAAATTGAAAATAAACTTTTAGCTAAATTATGATACATCTGTGAGATACTAGACAACCATCAAAAATTACTTTATAGAAAAGTTCTTAATCTGAAATTTATGAGTCCTCTGAAGTTACATAGTCTCAACTCAGAAGCCAAATTATTTAGTTTTTAGGGACAAGATCTTGCTATATTGCTGTGGTTGGAGTCAGACTCCTGCGTTTAAGCAATCTTCCTGTCTTAGCTTGGGACTACAGGCATGTGCCACTGCACCCAGCCTCTAGCTTTTAGTTTTAATGCTATTATTAATCCACTGTATGCTCTTAATCCCATATTCTCCAGTAGAATTTACTCTGGTGATAGAAATGTTCTGTTTCTTTGGTGTCCAGTATGGTAGCCAGTAGCTATATATGACTGTTGAGTACTTGAAATATGACTAGTGAGAAACAGAATTTTAAATTTTAACTTATTTATGTATAAATAGCCATACAGGGCTAGTGATGACCATTTTTTAGCATAGTTTTATATAGTTATTTCATCCTTTTGGTTACCTGAGCCCTAAGGTAAAAGGAGTATTATATGTGAAGAAATCTTAGGAATCATTTAGTCTTGGTCTTTATCTTTAAGTCAAGGAGAGCAACCTTTTGAGAAACAGGTACATTTTACTAGTTCTAAAATTTTGACCATTTGTATATGAATTTCAGTCACAATAATACAATTTTCAATAGCAATAATAACATAAACCTAACACTTAATATTAATTTGTGGAACAGTAATTTCATTCAACTTTCTTTTTCATGTGATTTGTATACTTAAGGGTTGGCATATTAGGGCTGGTGAGCTGAATCCAGCTCACTCTTATTTTTTGTACAACCTGTGACCAAAATTACTATTTTTTTTTTTTTTTTAATTAGAGTCACTCTGTTGCCCAGGCTGGAGTGCAGTGGCACACTCATGGCCATCCCAGAATCGACCTGCTGGGCTTTGGGTGATCCTTCTGCCTCAGTCGTCCAGGTAGCTGGAACTACAGGTGCATACTACCACACCCAGCTAATTTTTTATTTATTGTAGAAATGAGGTCTCACCAAGTTGCCCGGGCTGGTCTCGAACTTGCTGGCTCCCAAAGTGCTGGGATTACAGGCTGGGCCACTGGGCCCAGCGCAAAATTGTTTTTTTAAAATAAATGGTTGAAAAAAGAATCAGAAGAAAAATAATATTCTATGAACAATATATGGAAGTTGCGTATAATCCAAATTTCAGTGTTCATAAACTTACATTGGAACACAGTCACAGTTATTCACTTACATATTCTCATTTACTTACATACTCTCATTTGCTTACGTACTCACTTACTTACATATTCTCTGTAGCTGCTTTTGTACCACAGTAGTAGAATTGAGTAGTTATGACAGAAACTGTAGCATCTGAAAAGCCTAAAATATTTATTATCTGGCCCTTTACATAAGTTCTTTTCTAGCACTGTCTTAGTCCATTTTGGCTACTATAACAAAATAACCATAAACTGGGTAGCTTATAAACAATAGATATGTGACTGGACTGGTGGCTCAGCTTGTAACCCCAGCACTTTGGGAGGTCGAGGCAAGTGGATTGCCTGAGCCCGTGGGTTCTGAGACCAACCTGGGCAACTTGGCGAGACCGCATCTCTACAATAAATAAAAAATTAGCCAGGTGTGGTAGCGTGCACCTGTAGATCCAGCTACTTGGAAGGCTGAGGCGGAAGGATCACCAGAACCCAGCAGGTTGATGCTGGGATGGCCGTGAGCATGCTACTGCACTCCAGCCTGGGTGATGGAGTGAGAATCCAACTCAAAAAAATAAAAAAATAGAAATGTATTTCTCACAGTTCAGGAGGCTAGAAAGACTAAGATGAAGACACTAGCTGATATGGTGTCTGCTGAGGGCTTGCTTTCTGGTATGTAGATAGCACCTTCTAGCTGTGTTCTCACATGGTGGAAGGTACAGGGGACTCCAGGATAGATCCAGTGTCTGGTTAAGGCCTGCTCCTTCACAGTTGACCCTCTTCTCCTTGTAACCTCCTATGGTCAAAGGGCAAAGAGTGTGTCCCTCTGCCTGCCCCCGCTCCGTTCCTCCCTCCCCCTCCTTCTCTCTTTCCCGCTCACTCTTCTTTTATAAGGGCACTAATCTTGCTTATAAGACTCTACAAAGACCCCAAAGCCCCACCTCCAAATATCATCACCTTGAGAGTTAGAGTCAAATACCAGGATAGACCAGACCAGACATCTAGTATAGATCTTTAAAATAAAGTGCCAGGACAGGCTGTGATGTGATCCTTTTGTACTTTTTAGATTTGATGAGTTCGATGAAGCAATTGATGAAGCTATTGAAGATGATATTAAAGAGGCTGATGGTGGAGGTATGTGTTTGTCATTCTCTCTTCTTCATACAATTCTGCCAACAAGTTGATTCAGATGCCCAAATTAGGGCAGCAAGCATATTTTTAAAATTCTCCTCCCTAGTGTGTATCACGATTACTACTGATGTTAATTGTCTCAGATCTAGAATAATTTGTGAACAGAGTGTCAGTGTATAGACTCGTATCTTACTAATTACTTTTCAAATAGTTTTGCTTTATGATCTGATATAAAACATTGATGTTGCCCCATAGATTAAAAATTTTTAAGTTGGTTCCAAGTAGAAAATGGAGGAAACTTTCCTGTTGTTGTTGAGACTACAAAGTCTCAAAAATTGTAGATAATCAGGATAAAAATGATTGCTTTAAATTAACCTATAAAAATTCATTTATTGATATCATAGCCACTAATAGGTGGCACTAGAGGAATTTGAAGGTATTTTAGCTAAAGCACTACATAACCAGTGCGCCAATGTGGAGCAATCTGGTTTCTACTTAGATATTATGAAAACTGTGGAAAGGATTAATATGTAGGTTGTTTTTAGAAAAACTGAAATCACAAGTTTTTCCAGAGATGTGTGCCTTATGTACATTTTTGCTGCTGAATTCTCACTTTTTCTGCCCTGCAAACATAGTTTAAAAAAAAAAAACCAGATTGGCTTCTTTCTAAAACCTCGTCTAAAATACAGCTTTCGAGAAGAGATTCTTTAGAGTGATGGAAATGTTTTGGAATTAGTGGTGATGGTCACACAATCTTTTTTGACTGTTCTAAAACCTCTGAATTATGCACTATTAGGGTGAATATTATTGTATGTGAATTATATAAAGGCATGGAATACAACAGGTTCTTTACATAGTGAACTTCTACTCAATAGGCTAAACGAATGCAAAACCCTGTCATGTTGAGAACTCTTTCAGCTGAAGTTATGAGAAAATAAAGAAATAAGGTGAAGAGCCACTAAGCACAAATAAGGACTATATCTAGAAATTAAAGGGACACTTGTAATAAACACACACTTATCTCTCCCCCACCCCCTCCCATCAAACTCAGGAGTTGGCCGAGGAAAAGATATCTCCACCATCACAGGTCATCGTGGGAAAGACATCTCTACTATTCTGGATGAAGAAAGAAAAGAAAATAAGCGTCCCCAGAGGGCAGCTGTTGCTCGAAGGAAGAAACGCCGGCGACTAAATGATCTGGACAGTGACAGCAATCTGGATGAAGAAGAGAGTGAGGATGAATTCAAGATCAGTGATGGGTGCGTGGTCTACCAATAGACCCCTGTCACTAGACACCAGCTTAAAATAGACTGGGCTAGTGGACAGATCTGGTCCTACTGTGATGAGGCTTTTGTTCTTCATGTACATAGACAATCTGTTTATCTTCAGGATATTTAAAGCGGATTCAAGAATAATGATTTTGGTCCCTTTTAGATTAAAACAAAGTAGATTTATGGCTGTTTAATAATTCAAATTTGCATTTAAATTTTATTCACTGAAATTAAACTTTCACTTCTTGAGGACATACCTCTGTGCCACCTTCTCCCAGGCCCATGAGGGGTTCCCAGTCATCTGTGAGAAAGTATTTAGCTACTGTGTTCTGGTGACTCATAGATGTTATTCTTAGGGTAAATAATCTGGTATGGAAGATCAGGAAAGTTCCTGTCAGAAGGTATTGACACTATACCGCAATGTTTCTCCATTCAGATTATTAGTGGAAAATAAGCATATAATAAACCACAAAGAAGTCATTCTGCGTGATTGCTACTAAATTACAGGTAAAGCTAAATTGGGATACACAGCAAAAGATGACTTAATTCGAGAGGTAAGGGAAGGCCTTACAGTAGAAGTGAAACTTAAATCTGAAATTTAAAGAATGAATATTTGGGCCGATTGATGAGTTTGAGGTTAGAAACAGGACGAAGGAAAGAAGGCATTTTGAACATAGAACTCACATGTCCAAGGCAGCAAACCATAAAATGTCATAGAATATTTGGGAAACTCCTGGTGGTTCACGTCAACAAGAATATGAGGAAGAGGTAGAAAATGTCCTCCTGGAGATGTGACCAAGAGATAAAAAGAGCCAGATATTGAGTGTTTTACTTGTCATACATAAGAATTTGGACTTTATCCTGAAAATTATGAAAAATCAGTGAAGGGTTTTAACCATCAGAAAAATGTGAAATTTATGCTCCAGAAAAATTCATTTTTGGCATTCATCTAGAGAATAGATTGAGAGAAAATGAGATGAGAGATTAGAGAAACTATCTGGGGAATTGATATTTAGTTTAGGTGAGAAACCTAAAAAGAAGAGAGACTAGATATGAGAGATTATCTTTTAAGAGGAAACTCAGGAGGAATTAGTAATAGATTATATATGAGAAATGGAAAGGGAACAATTAGGATAAATACTAGGTTTCTGGTTTGAGCTCCTGGATGGGTGATAGTAGGAAAGAGAGGGGAAGTAGGTTGGGAAATAATTAATTCACTTTTGGAATGTTGAATTTAAGGTACATGGGGCACATCCCAAGAAGACAAAGTATTTTATGTATAAAAATCAACATCGATTGGGTGCGGTGTCTTAAGCCTGTAATGCCAGCACTTTGGGAGGCTGAGGCAAGAGGACTGCCTGAGCTCAGGGGTTCGAGACTAGCCTGGGCAACTTGGCGAGACCTCGTATCTATAGTAAATCCAAAAATTAGCCGGGCATGGTAGCACGTGCCTGCAGTTCCAGCTACTTGGGAGGCTGAGGCGGAGGGATCTCCTGAGCCCAACTTGTCAAGGCTATGGTGACCGTGAGCGTGCCACTACACTCCAGCCTGGGTGACAGAGTGAGACTCCAACTCAAAAAAAAAAAAATCAACATCAACTCATCTTCATAACCCTCTCAAGAGAAGGATAGGTAGCAAAACATTTCTCCGTTTTATAAACTGGGCATTTGATACAATTATCCTGATATGTTGCACTGTATATTACTTAATGATTCACTGGACTCACTAGAATTTGAACTCAGAAGTCTCAAAAATGGTTCACAGTTCTAAGTATATAATCATAATTTCTCTGATTTCTTTTGGACAGATCTCAAGATGAGTTTGTCGTATCTGATGAAAACCCAGATGAAAGTGAAGAAGATCCACCATCTAATGACGACAGCGACACTGATTTTTGTAGCCGTAGATTGAGGCGGCACCCCGCCCGGCCAATGAGGCAAAGCAGGCGTTTGCGAAGAAAGACCCCAAAGAAAAAGTACTCTGATGATGATGAAGAGGAAGAATCTGAGGAAAATAGTAGAGACTCTGGTAAAAATAGCTTGAATCCATATCACCCCAACTCAAAAAATTTTTATGACTTTTGGAGTTGAGTTCTTAAAATGAAATTCCCATTTTTAAGACTCACTAGTAACTAAAATTTTCACAAACAGCACATCTGAGAAAATACATACAAATTGATTTGTTAGCTTCATACCAATTTCATTTAGGATCGTGATGAATCGTTTCATGTCAGGTGTTCACATGCCTAACCTTTTTCTTCTTGGGAATCATTCTCAATAAGCTATGAACATTCTCCTTAGATGTCCAGCTTTTGGAGAGAGAAGAATATCAATCATCTCTCACTCAGAACACAGTCAGTGACTCAGTCGTTTTTATAAATTATCACTGTTGATGTTATCAGCTTATGTTTATCCCTTTTAACTGAGTACTGAGTAAATAGTGAGGGACACAATAGCTAAAAGTTATGAGTGCTTTATGTAATTGGCAAATTTATAGGTGTCATCTTATTAGAGAAGTGCCACAAACAGGAATATTGTATCCCTCATTCTGGTCATCGTTGTGGGTGTATTTTTGTTTTCTTTCTTTCTTTTTTTTTTTTTAAGCCTTTTAAGTAAGTGGTGATATCATGCCCCCTTATCAGTTATTATTTCCTAAGAACAGGGGCATTTTCTTACATAACCACAGTTATTAAAATCAGAAATTTCAATCAAGATAAACACAATACCATTATCTCATCAATAGTACATATCCAGATTTCATTAAATAATTCAATATTGTTCTTTGTATCTATTTTTTTTTTCTTACCTCAGGATCAAATACAGGTTTTTACATGGCATTCATTCATGTCTCTTTAGTCTCAATCTGGAATGTTTCTAAAATTTTGTCCATATTGACCTTGACAGTTTGAAAGTAATATATATTAGTTATTTTGTCAAATGTCCTTCAATTTGGATTTTTCTGGTTCCTTGTAATTAAATTCAGATTATACATTTTTGGCAGGAATATCACCAAGGTAATGTTAATGTCTTCCAAACCTCTTTACTTTATTATCTTTTCTTGTAATAGATAAGTAATTTGTGTATCTTTGAGGCTGCATAAATACCCTGTTCTTATTATGTATCTCATCTACTAGTTTTAGCATCAATTGATGATTTTCTAACTCATCATTTCTGTTATATTTATTAGTTGTTCTGTAAGAAAGAACTTCCCTTCTCCGTATTTGTATTTCTTTATATCAGTATACTTGTGGATTCTTATTCTGGTCAACAGATATACTACATTACCATCACTATTTAGATTCCATTTGTTCCAGATTTGGTCAGTGAGAACCGGTTTAACCTATTGCCTAGCTATTTTGAAATATTTGAAGCCCATGAGAGAATAGAAGCTGAATGTAATAGATCAGTGGAATTTGTTAGCACTCTGAATTGAGCTCTGACATAATGCCATAGTCTCACTCTGGTTTACTGATTAGAGATGACAAGAATATATGCCATTTAGCAATGCTTTGAGAGTTTAAGTAGCCCTGTGTACCGTATTTAGCAGATTCTTATTCCACATACAGAAAAGCCAAAAATACAACTCCCATTCTGTACTACTTTGAAACAAGTTCATGAGTTTCTTTGGTTAGTAGGTTTAAGCTCTGTAATACATTATGACTATAGCCACAGATAGGAACAGCAGATTATCAGGAGGCAGATTCTGGTAACTTTCCTCCAAGAAAGCAGTTGTGGCAGCTGTACAGCTTACCAGGTAGCTCTAGGTCAAATGCAGTAAGGATTCTTTGTAAAAGTATAAAACATTTTCTAATCTTGAGGCTTAACTGTTAATAGTATATGTTTGTAAAATCTGGCATTAAAGACCCCCTCAGATTGGCTCATTATTGATACTTATAAAAGTTGTTGATCTAAAACTTCTTTTGACTGAATTCTGCTGAGTAGTTCTACCTTTTTGTAACCTAAACTAGCTACATTTCTATTTAATGTTCTTAAATTTTGTATTTGGCTTGTTTTTCTTTTTAATAGAAAGTGACTTCAGTGATGATTTTAGTGATGATTTTGTAGAAACTCGGCGAAGACGGTCAAGGAGAAATCAGAAAAGACAAATTAACTACAAAGAAGATTCAGAAAGTGATGGTTCCCAGAAGAGTTTACGACGTGGTAAAGAAATAAGGCGAGTTCATAAGCGCAGACTTTCCAGCTCAGAGAGTGAAGGTAAGAAATAGACCTATTGACAGAAGTTTGGGCAAGATAAAAGTAGACACTTATATTTACTTTTTTAAATTATTATTTATTTTACTTGTTTTTTTTTTTTTTTTTTTTGAGATAAGGTCTTGCCATGTTGTGCAGCCTGTTCTTGAACTCCTGGGCTCAAGCAATCCTCCTACGTTTCACCTCCCAGACTGCTGGGATTATGAGCATAAGCCTCCATGCCTGGCAGCAGATAGTAAAGTGAACTCTGGATGGCGATTCTATAGCATTTCTTTAAAATTCATATGACCAGTAGTATCTTTGAGATAAAACCCATAATTTTGTGCTTGGTTACTAATTATAGTTTAAATAAATTATACTTGGTAAGAAATTCATTTTCAAGATCTCTAGTGTAAATAATCAAATTTATTTTATTTTATTTTACTTTTATTTTTATTTTTTTTGTCAGAGCCTCACTCTGTGGCCCAGGGTGGAGTGCAGAGGCACATTCACGGCCACCACAGCCTCGACCTGCTAGGCTCAGGCAGTCCTTCTGCCTCAGCCTTCTAAGTAGTGGAAACTATAGGTGCATGCCACTATGCCCAGCTAATTTTTTTATTTATTGTAGAGATGAGGTCTCACCAAATTACTCAGGCTTGAACCCATGGGCTTAGGCAATCCTCTTGCCTCAGCCTCCCAAAGTGTTGGGATTATAGGCGTGTGCCACTGTACCCAGCAATAATTAAATTTTAAATGGAAACTAGAAGAGTCTCAGAAAATTGTGATCTGATCAAGATTTATTCTGCTTCTTCCTATTTACCACGTTATTCATGACCCTCATTTTGAAATTACCTTTTATGCTCTGAGAGGCTGAATAGTTTCACACCAAAGTACCTGCTATCTCTTTCCATTTTGACAATGAGTTTCAATTAGTAACTATTTGATTTCTTAATAACTAGCTGTGCCCATACCTGAAGTTCAGGAAGAGCTCTAAAATAGGAGTTTATGATATACATTTAGTCTTTTGTTTTGTTTTGTTTTTACTTTTAAAGACTCTCTGTTGCCCAGTCTGGAGTGCACTGGTTATTCACAGGCACAATTATAGTGCACTACAGCCTCAAACACCTGGCCTCAAGGGATCCTCCCATCTCAGTTTCCCCTGTAGTCAGGAATACAGGAGTGTGTCACCACAACCAGCCTCTTTTTAGTCTTTGTAGTTATTTCAGAGCTTTTTCTACTTTGATTTTAAGTGACCCCAACTGTTACCTTTCCACCTTTTTTTTCTCACATACTTGATTCACCATTGTTTATAGTGTGTTCTGGAGATTGTTTGCTTTCATAAATTAAACATGAAATGAATTAAGTTTAAGCCCAACCCAGGAGGAAAAGGGGAAAAAATATTTGAATGTTGAGACTAAAGAAGGGAGTTGAATATCTTTTTGAGTATTTATCTTCATGTGTCATAAAGACAGACAAATTCATTAGTTCAGCCATTAAATACAAATATTTATTGATCTAGGCCCTATTTTAAGCACTGTACTATAACAGTGAGCAAAATAGCCCTTATGTAACTCTTATTTTAGTTAGGGGAAGAGAGACAATAAGATAAATCAGTAGAATATATGATATATTAGATGAAGATAAGTACTGTGGAGGAAAGAGGATTGGGAGAGTAGTTGGAATTTCAAATAGTGAAATTATTTTTCCTAAAGGAAGTGAAGCCAGGTGTGGTGGCTCATGCCTATAATCCCAGCACTTTGGGAATCTGGGGTAGAAGGATTGCTTGAGGTCAGGAATTTGAGACCATCTTGGGCAACATGGTGAGATCTCATCTCTAAAAAAAAAAAAAAAAAAAAATTAGCCAGGCATGTGATGGCATATGCTTGTAGTCCCAGCTACTCAGAAAAAAGCAGTATTTGCCTGAAGACCCATATAAAATGTGTCAGGCATTTATCTAAAAAAAAAAAAAAAAGTGGTACAAGCATATGGAACAACAACTGTTGGCCTTGAGGCAAGTTTGTGCCTTTCGTGTTCAAACCCTGGAAGGGAGTCCAAGGTTGTTGGAAAAGAGTGAGTGAGGGGAAGAATAATGAGATGAAGCAAAGAGATCAACAGGGGCTAGACTGTGTAGTACAGCAGTCAGTGAGCTACAGCCCACCTGTCTATATAAACTTTTTGCAAAGCAAGTTTTATTGGCAGACTACCATGCCCATTTGTTTACATATTATCTGTGCACACTTTCTCAAAAAGTTGAATAGTTGCAACAGAGACTGGGGCCTGCCCTTTTATAGAAAAAATTTGCTAAGCCGTAACAAGAAAGAGTGCTGTCCAACTGATGGGAATGTTCTCTGTGCTGATGTTTACAGTAGCCACTAGCCTCATGTGGCTATTGAGCACTTGAAAGTGTGGCCACTGTGGACTGCGGAGTTGAATTTTTAATTTTAATTAATTTTAATTAAATTTAAAGTAACCACATGTGACTAGTGTCTATCATATTACATATCCCAGCTCAGGCCATTGCATAGACTTTGGATTTAATTTTATATGGGGATGATAAATAATGGGAGAATTTTAAGCAAGAGAGTGACATGATCTCTCAGCTGTTAACTTGCTGTGGTGGTTGTATGATAAATAGATTGAATGGAGCAAGGACAGAAACCAGAAGACCTGTAGGAAGTTATCGTATAAGTCCAGATGAGAGATGATGGTGGGTGGGATTAAACAGTAGCAGGAAAGAGGTGAAAACATCAAATTATGGTTCTGTTTTAAAGGTGGACCCAAAGCATTTACTCTTGGGTTGGATGAGAGAAAGAGAGAATCAAGGATGACTGAGCAATTGGAAGAATAGTTGCCAAAAACTAAGATGGTAGCGACCACAGTGTTGCAGTTTTAAGGGGAAAGTTCAGGAGCTCAGTTTTGGACAGTTAGGTTGAGATGGCTGTTAAGATATCCAAGCATAGATGGTGAGTAGGCAGTCTGATATACTAGTCCAGAATTTCATGGTTACCCAAAACAAATCTGAGAGTCATCAGCATATAAATGGTATGCAAAGTTGTAAAACTATGTGAGATCTTCTAAGGTGTAAGTACAGTCATCCCTCAGTATCCATTAGGGATTAGTTCCAGGATTCCTGCAGGTACCAAAATTCATGGAATGCTCAAGTTCCTTATAAAATGGTGTAGTATTTACATATAACCTACCCACATCCTCCCATATACTTTAAATCATCTCGATTATTTATAATACCTAATGCAATGTAAATGCTATATAAATAGTTGCGGTTCTACATTATTTAGGGAATAATGACAAGAAAAAAGTCTGTGCATGTTCAGTTCAGATACAACCATCCTTATTTTTTCTGAATATTTTCTATCCATACTTAAATGTTGAGGACTTACTGTATAGATAAAGAAGAGAAGACATTTAAGACTGCCAAGGGTATTTAATAACATGAGATGAGAGTTGGCACAGTATTTCATATGTACAGAGTCAGGTGCCTAGACTTAATCTTCACTTATCAGTATGTTTACATGATTCCCTAACTTTAGGACTAGTGGGAAGGAGTTTGTGACAGCCTATCTTCATTTAACTCAAGAATCATCAGATTTCTTCCCCAGGAAATCTACTCTTGCTTAAAATCATAGGTAAAGTATACTGAGTCATATTGGGCATTACTATGGAACTGAAAAGATAGAAATCAGGCCAATTATTGAAGGAAAATATTTATGCACAAGCAAGTCTGAGAGCAGGATTGGGGTGAATGTGGGGAGGAAAAGGAGAATTTCTCAAGTCCATTTATGATTAACTGTGCCAATGGCTTAAACATGCTGTTTATTCTAGAGAGCTATTTGTCCAAGAACTCAGAAGATGAGGAGCTAGCTAAAGAATCACAGCGGTCGGTTCGAAAGCGGGGCCGAAGCACTGATGAGTATTCAGAAGCAGATGAGGAGGAAGAGGAAGGCAAACCATCCCG